CCATTCCCTCACTGTGAGGATTCTCAACTTCCATGGGTCCTAAAATCGACAAAGATACGTGTGTTTATGCCTTTTCGCCTTGTTCTCGAGCGTAGACACTCACCGAATCCATCCCTTTAGCAAGCGCAACGCTGTGGTAAAGGGCTGTGAGTAGCACTCACCTACAATTCCGATATTCCTATCCATTTCAAGTCACAAAGTGTCGTACCGCGTCTCGAAAAAAAATCGCGCTGCATTTGAACAGCATACATGCAATTACACAAATAGGCAGGCTTGATACTACTGAACCGAAAAACATCGCCCGGTTCACGAGACAACTCTCCCCGTGCTTCCAAGGCAAAGCAGTCCTCGCCTCGCCTTCGCCTTCGCTCTGCTCGTACTCTTCGCGCTCTCGGCTACCCACCAGAATCTTCATGCGACATTAGGTTTCTAACTACACAACATGTTATATTTTGCAACGCTGTACGAGTGACGGTCGCCAATGAGCCCATCAGTAGGTGGCGAGAGGTACAACACAACTGCCTCCAAGCGGCAAGTTCCGGTTGCTTGCGGAGCCACCTCTACACCCCGCGTTCTGTGTCGCCATTGGATCCCAATCTATCCGGTTTCTCGTGTATCTGCTCGATGACACTGCCGCCGGAGTCACGATCGCTCGTCTGCGATGGCCAAGTCTGCTCGAAGGTCGTGTGTACTGCCACTTCCATCCGACTCGGTAGAGTTGACGGTCTATAAGTCCGTTTGGTCGCCGAGTTTTTGCGTCGGTGACCCTCTTGTGTGTTAATACTACATCAACCACCATGAGCGGGAAAAAGAAAGGAAGTGACGGTAGTCGTACACTTCGGTGGAGCTAGTGGTAAAATTGACCAGAGCGCGGTGTATCCGCGAGGCAGCGATCGCCATTGTGATCCAAGAGGGAACTTGGAACATCTAACGTTGGAAAGGCGTAAGAGAACGAAAGGCACCGTTCCACCAGTGACACGAACGCACCCTGTTGAACGGAGCTAATATTCGGAACAGAATCAGCTCGAAATTTCTCATCCAACGAGAGAGACTGGAGAAGGTCACCGTTCAAGTTCAAGGCGATGAACACCTACAACGTATGAACAACACGGAGAAAAGCGAGGAACTAGTGTGACTTACTATCGGCGGAACCTCTGCAACAAGGGCGATCAAGAGCCAAATGACTCCCTTACGAAATAAAGAACATATCGATGAATTGAATGAACCACAGTCAGGGAGAGCAGTCACTGACCTGTTTCCAGAGGAGCTTGGTCAGGCCAAAAGTGCCACCACCACTAGTACGCGCGCGAAGCAGGCCAACAAGCATAGTAAAGAGCAATACGATATCGGTAAAAAGCATGGCGATGAGACTGAGGCTGGAGCTCTCAGATTTCATAGGCTGACAGGCGTTTTGCGAAGGTACCCATATTGAGCGGATCTTCAGATAGGATGAGCGCCTGGGGTCAAATATGATAGGAATATGTATTCACCCGCGCCGCACCTGTCACCAGACCACGTTAAGTTCCGGATTACTTGCACGAAAGGGCAGAGGAATGGACTGACCCTGAATAAGGAATCCTACATTGATCGCCCACACACTGAGTGCAATCACCACGATGACCTTATTCCTATTCCAAATCGCAATGCTGGCAGCCTCCGTGAGTGCTTGTTTTGGAGAGATTGTCTTGGCGGGGAGTTCTAAATGGTGACGCACGTGCGAAGAACAATCAACAGTGAAGCGGCTGCTGTAGACAGGAAGGAAAAAGCCTGGGAAAGGGAAGCAATAAGGTGCTGAGCGTCTCTTTGTAAGTTGGAGGGAGCCCTACCAGTGCGAAAGAGAGTGAGAGCTTTAAATCGTGGCTGGTCAGAGCCAAGACATGAAGAGGCAGGCGGGGAGGTCAGAACGCACTTGACAGTTGATTTGGGTCGTAACGTTCATGAATGCAATGCCAACTGATACCGCCAGGAGGGTGGAAACGCGCGAAAGGGAGTATATCTACCGAGCCAGCGAATCAGTCCGAGACTCCAACTTGGCAGAGGAGACCAAAGTGAAGTGCGGATCACTACGGACCCATATCGTCCAGCGGTAGGGGAGACGCCCTCGAATTACACCCCATTCATAGTCCAAGGTAGTGAAGAATTCCCAGCTAGCGTTGAGGATTGAGTCATGCGTCGTACTCTGAGAAGAGGAAGCCGATGGGGCCAGTCAGACTCACATGTAGAGACCGCAAATAGTGTGCCAAAGCTTGATGACCACCCCTGCAATAGAGAATGATTGAACTGGCTTTACGAGAAGAGGTTGCAGCAAAAGCATACGCACAGGCATCTTGCGCAACTACAGCGGGATCATGGAGATTGACCATACCAGCAGGTAAGCGATGTGGATAAACAGGCGAGGGCGTCGGAGTTGGCTGGAATAACGCCGTTCCCTGCAGCAGGAGATTGTACATATACCGTGTACAGAAACCCCATGTTGCAAGACGTGTTGCGTGATGAGTCCTCACATACCCTCACACGCCATCATTGCCAGGCATGGTAATATTGGTGGCTTGATGGAAACCGCTATCTGGGGGCTATCGGCCTACACGTCTCGTCGGTACTTTTAAACCTGTGGGAGTTTCAGCGGAAAGACGCGCAGTTGCCAGTGGAATGGCCCATTCAAGTTTCACAAGCAGCAAGTGATTGATGAAGACTAACTCATACGCTCGAGAAGCCATGACAATCAGCATCGCTAACAATCGTACGGGTGGTTCACAGGAGAACTGAAGGAAAGAGCAACTTTGCCGTGACAGAGCCAAAGCAAAGTTGAGAATATATGAGGTAATCTCCTTGGTTCGGAAAAACCCGACGGGGTCGTCATCCTCCAATTCTTCCAACTCACCTCCACTCTTTCCCCACTGCGCATGATAAAATACAAGCTGCGGATGTCTGCGATGCGCTGGCAGCGACTTAATACCTGTCAGGGCTAGGTTGTCCACAATCAGTGCGCAGCGGGGGTGGACTATCACGGTCTTTCCCATAATGGAGTTCATCTGATGTGGTCCGCAGCCCGAGTTATGTCACTTCGCTATATGCGTAATGCCATCGAGTGTGTCAATGTGAAAAGAAATTTGGTTACAGTAACTTCATTATCCTTTTCATCATCTGCCATACCTTCACTACGCACTAAGTCTGGGACGAGGTGTTTCGAGAGGTGTTTCGACAGCGACGCGATCTCACGACACTCCGGCTCGGCGATGCGTTCGAGTGCGGCGTGCCATATCAAGGCGACGCGCCTGGCTGCTCGTTGCCCCCCTCACCCCGAGTTTCTTCGCCCCCATCTCCAATTCTCAACATCTATTGTCTATCACATCGAATGGGCCGCGCCCCCCGACAACCCCGCAGCACCCCGACTACGGCCGCAACGCGTGCGCCGACGAGTTCCTCCGACAGTTCGCGGCAGCCGAGAGCACGAGCCGCAACCAGCCTCCAGCCCCAGCTCACGGCCCAGCAACATGCCGACACGTAGCGCTCGCGCCCATGACGCCGGCGTTGGCCGAAATCACCGAGCTTAACGTGGCGGCCATGCTGGCAAAGTGGAAGGGGGTAGGTGGGCTTGACTCTACTTTCGCGCCGACTGACTGACTGACGGTCGCACAGATACTGAGAGCTCATGCAGCTCGGCGACAGGAAGAGCGCGCTGCGGACGGCGGGCAAGGACGTAGCCACGAGCTTCTTGCTGCATCTCTGCGTGAGGGGCGACATCACGTCCGACGGCACGTCGTGTCGGCAGTGGAAACAACGTGAGTTGGTCATGTGTCGTGTCCACTCGTGTCAGTCTGAAGCTTATTTCTTCCTCTTGCGCCGCAGTGTACTCCCTGGCCAACGGGAAGCGCATGGACACCAACGACAGCGCTGAGGTGTTTGCGTTCCACAAGACGCACGTGGTGCCGCGTTTCAGCTCAGCCCGCCGCCCGCGCGCATTAAGACGGTTACCGACTCGGGCAACCTGCTGGTGCTGCTGTTGTTCAACGTCGCATGCGACCGCCGCATTTTCCCCAGCGACCGCCGCCGCCTCGACCTCGACGATGGTGAGCTCGCGAGACCAGATGTCGATGCCGGTGTGATTGATGTGGTTGTAATGGCGGACCAGGGACCTCAGCTGGCTTACCCACCTTGTGGTAGTTCCGGTCGTCCTGCCGTTCTTGAGGACCCCCAAGGCGGGGTCGCCGTTGGCGTTGGGATGCTTGAACTTGATGAGTTCGCTCTCGGGAACCACGCTGCGGAGCTGCAGCAGGCCGTGCTCCGGATACCCGTAGCCGTTGCGGTCAGCGAAGTGGGGGAACATGCGCGCCAGGAACGTTGGCTTGTCGAGTTTGTCGCCTGTGTGATAACGCATAAGTAAACAACATCGTATGTATTGGCAAGATGGGAGACGTACCGATGTATACCTTGTTGCTTTGGAAGTCGTCCCTGAATGCGTCAGGCGCCATCTGAGGGCGGCCCAGTCCCTTGTATAGCCATCCGCTCCGTCCGAGGAGACGCCAATGGGGTCGGCGAACAAGACATCGCCAATGACGCGGTTGTCGACGATCGACATCAACTTGGTAACTTGGTCGTGGAGGCCGTTGAGAAGCTTGGTAGTTCCCATCACACTCTCGATGTTGCGCTGGGTGCCCTTGATCGAATAGGCCTGTCCGTATCATCCACGCCGCGATCCAGCCGACCCTGGAGAGCCTTGATCCTCTTCTCCCCCCCCTCGATTCCCTCCTGCAGCTTTCCTATCTCCTTCTCGACCGCCTTGACGGCGAGCTTGTATGACTTGCTGCCAAGAGCCACGAAATCCTTGTGGTGCTTCTCAGCCAACCTCTCTGTCAAACCCTTGTTCTCTGGGAACATGTGGGGGAGGGTGAGCAACATGGGCAGCCATGATGCCTGTTGGCTAAAAGGGTAATCTGTCACTAAAACTGGTTGAAAAGGGTAACACAGTTGTGAAGATGTAAAACCACCCAACTACCCATGGCTAGGTAGCTCAATAGGTAGAGCACCTGGTATATATTCAGGAGGCCTGGCTGCCTGCCAGTGGGTTCAAACCCCAGTCTGGTCACTTAAATGCTGCTAACAATGCCAAGGAGCCTGCTGCCTGCTGCCATCACCTTGAGTCATGAACAGGCCAAGGGTTCCCTTGTATCCTGCCTCCTTGAGGGGTGCAATGGCGAGGCCAAGCGTGGACTCGGAGAACAGGCAGCAGAATGCGGAGACGGAGGGCCCCTCGAGGCTCGAGCTCGGGGTCGAGGGGATGTGAGCTTGGCGGCACCGGAGAAGGATACTTCCAGTTCCCACACTGCAACATCGATGTCCCCGAAGCTGGCCTTGGCGAGGATGTCGGTCTTGACATGGTTGGCAACCGTCTTCGTGGCATCGAACTCAATGATCCTCACTTCCATACCAATGGTGGCTACCAGGGGGCATAATGCCCTGACATACCAAAACATTTTTGCAGATGTGGCCTGAACCGTGCATGGTTGCTGGATGACGAGCTTGGGCCCCAGCGGTTTGGAGCACGGTTCCGAGTCCGAGAGCGAGGTGACTGTGGCGCCGCAAATCTGTCGGCTCCGCACCTCAAGACGCGCACGAGCGGCTTTGCCTTCATGCGGGACGGCGGCCTCCCTCAGCAATGGGTCTGGTTCAACCGGTCGAAAGTCTTCCAGGTCTGCGCGAGCGTGCGTGCGACCATTCACGTTCATCGCACGGCTGTATGTCCTTCACTCTTTGCTACTTGGCAGGTTCGATATTGTGCCTAAAACCTCGCCCTGTTCATGAGACAACTGTCCGCGTGCTCCCAAGCGAGGCAGTCATCGCCTTGTCTTCGCCTGCTCGTACTCTTCGCGCTCTCAGCCACCCACCAAAATCTTCATGCAATTTCAGGTTATCTAACTACCCAACATGTTGTATTTTTCAGCGTTATACGAGTGACCCTTGCTAACGAGCTCATCAGTCGGTGGCGAGAGGTATAAAGCAAATCAAGAAGCAAATGCTGCCAAGCAGCAAGTTCCAGTTGCTTCGGAGCCACCCCTACACCCGGCGTTCTGGGTCGCCATTAGGTCCCAATCCGTCTGGTTTCTCGTGTACCTGCTCGATGACGCTGCTGCCGGAGTCACGATCGCTCGTCTGCGATGGCCAAGTCTGCTCGAAGGTCGTGTGTACTGCCACTTCCATCTGACTCGGCAGAGTTGACGGGCTATAAGTCCGTTTGGTCGCCGATTTTTGCGTCGGTGACCCTCTCGTGTGTCAAAACAACTACATCGGCTACCATGAGTGGGAAAAAGAAACGAAGTGACGGTAATCATACACTTCGGTGGAGCTGGTGGTAAAATCTACCAGAGCGCGGTGTATCCGCGCGGCAGCGATTGCCATTGTGATCCAAGAGGGAACTTGGAACATCTGACGTTGGAAAGGCGTAAGAGACCCAAAGGCACCCTTCCACCAGTGACACGAACGCACCTTGTCGAACGCACCTAATATTCGCAACAGAATCAGTTTGAAATTTCTCATCCAACGAGAGAAACGGGAGAAGGTCACCGTTCAAGTTCAAGGCAAAGAACACCTACAACGTATGAACGACACGGACAGAAGCGAGGAACTAGTCTGACTTACTACCGGCGGAACCTCTGCAACAAGGGCAATCAAGAGCCAAATGACTCCCTTTCGAAATAAACAATATATTAATGAACTGAAAGCACCACGGTCAGGGAGAGCAGCCACTGACCTGTTTCCAGAGGAGCTTGGTCAGGCCAAATGTGCCACCACCACTTGTGCGCACGCGAAGCAGGCCAACAAGCATTATAAAGAGTAATACAATGTCGGTAATAAGCATGGCGATGAGGTTGAGTGCGGGGCTGTCAGAGTTCAAAGGCTGACAGGACCGTTGCGAAGGTACCCATGCTGAGCGGATCTTCAAATACGATCAGCGCATGGAGTCAAATACCATAGGAATATGTATTCACCCGCACGAGACCTGTCACCAGACCACGTTAAGTTCCGGATTACCTGCACGAGAGGGCAGAGGAACGGACTGACTTTGGATAAGGAACCCTACATTGATCACCCACACACTGAGTGCAATCGCCACGATGACCTTATTCTTATTCCAAATCGCAACGCTGACAGCCTCCGTGAGTGCTTGCTTTAGAGAGATTGTCTTGGCGGGGAGCTCTAAATGGTGACGTACATGCGAAGAACAATCAACAGCGAAGCGGCTGCTGTAGATAGGAAGGAAAAGGCCTGAGAACAGGAAGGCAATAAGGTGCTGAGCGTCTCTTTGTAAGTTGGAGGGAGCCCTACTAGTGCGAAAGAGAGTGAGACCTTTAAATAGTGGCTGGTCAGAGCCAAGACATGAAGAGGCAGGTCGGGAGGTCGGCACGCACTTGACAGTTGATATGGGCTGTAGCATTCATGAATGCGAGGCCAACTATTACCGCCAGGAGGGTGGAAGTGCGCATAAGGGTGTATATCTACTGAGCCAGCGAATTAGTCCGAGACTCCAACTTGGCAGAGGAAACCAAGGAGAAGTGCGGATCACTACGGACCCATATCGTCCAGCGGTAGGGGAGACGCCCTCGAATTACATCCCATTCATAGTCCAAGGTAGTGAGGAATTCCCAACTACGGTTGAGGATTGAGTCATGCGTCGTACTCTGAGGAGAGGAGGCTGATAGGGCGAGTCAGACTCACATGTAGAGACCGCACATAGTGTGCCAAAGCTTGATGAGCGCCCCTGCCATGAAGAATGATTGAACTGGGTTTACGAGAAGAAGAGGTTGCATGCAAAAGCGTACGCACTAGCATCTTGTGCAACCACCGCGGGATCATGGAAATCGACCATACCAGCAGGCAAGCGATGAGGTTGATGAACAGGCGAGGAAGCCGGCGTTGGCTGGAGTAACGCCGTTCCCTACAGCAGGAGATTGTACATATACCGTATACAGACACCCCATGTTGCAAGACGTGTCGCGTGATGAAGACCTTTCTGTTGAGTATAATCCTCATACACCATCATTACCAGACATAGTAATATTGGTGGCTTGATAGGAACCGTCATTTGGGGGCTATTGACCTACACGTCTCGTCGGTTCTTTTAAACTTGTGGGAGTTTCAGCGGACTGAAGGACGCGCAGTTGCCAGTGGAATGGCCCATTCAAGTTTCACAAGCGGCAAGTGATTGATGAAGACCAACTCATACGCTCGAGAAGCCATGACAATCAGCATCGTTAACAATCGTACGCGTGGTTCACACGAGAAAGAAAGATCAACTTTACCGTGACAGTTGTCGAGCAAGTTGATATGGGTGTGAGATTATGTCATCAAATGGGCGCCCTAGCCCAAGCCCTAGACATTGGCATGCTCAGATATTTGTGTTTTGTGGTTTCCTTATGACCCAGAGCCGTCTGTCGTCATAATGGGATCACTGACGGGCTTGTAAGTGAGGTCTGTGGTCGAGGGCAAGAGAGTGAGCAAGGTCTGGCTGGGTTTGAATTGGAGTAATCTCCTTGGTTCGGAAAAACCCACGGGGTCATCCGGTCATCGGCCTCCAATTCCTACTTACCTCCACCACAGCCCCTTTCCCCACTCCGCATGATAAAATCGCATTCTCTTGGACAACTGTCACTTTCACTTGTGCACGGGGGTTTCGGAGTGCGATTAACTTTCCGCGGATGTCTGCGATTCACTGGCAGCAATTTAATACTTGTCAGGGCTAGGTTGTCCACAATCAGTGCGCAGCGGGGGTACCATCACGGGTCTTTCCCATGAGGAGGTCATCTCATATGGCCCACAGCGGCACTGCCCGAGTCATGTCACTTCGCTATATGCGTAATGCCATCGAGTGCCACGCATGTGAAAGGAAATTTGTTTATAGTAACTTCATTGTCCTAGCCATCATCTGCCATATCTTCACTTGATTGGCTTCTATGATCCCGCTGTAACTATCGGGGATAGCTTGGCGTGCGCCTCTGCGCCTCGCTGTCGGGCACACGCATTCGACCCACCCTCTTCATTGTAGGGGTTCTCGGGCACTGCCTGTGATGACCAGCCAAACATACGGCACCACAGTACGCTATCTACGCGCCCGGGTTCCAAGTCTGGCCCATCTCCACCAGGGAATGCTTTGGCCACCGGTGAGTACGACGAGGTGGAGTGGCGGCCGAGGGCATCACTCATCCCAGTGGACAATATGGGCGATGACCCTCTTCAGCTGTTGGGTTCCGGGGCACAGCAACGGATTGGTCTTCCCCCTTCTGTTCCATCACGCGTGTAGCCACCTCCGCGGGAGTATCGCTATACGTCGTTGCTGTTGATATTCGGACACCCGATCAACTGTCACATAATGCGTGTTGTGTCATGCATCACGCGTCTACCTCCTTAGATCCGCTCTTTGGCCGACCATGTTCCCAAGTCGCGATCATTTTGGAATGCGTGAGCACGTCCAAAAACTCGCCTCCATGTCCGAGGACAGAGTTATCAGTGCTGTGTTGTTCCTTTTCCTCCATATTTTAGCCAACAAGGCCGGTCTGGCCCTCGCTGTTGTTTCCAGATCGATTGTGCTTCGCATGTTTGTCTTCTATCCTGAGCGTCCACCTGAAACAGATTTCCGCGCAAGCTATTAACATCGCCATTTGAAACGGCAACGAGGTTATCGTAGTTAGTTCAATTGACCTGCGAAAATTCATTCTTCACCCAGGGATATCATGAGCGGTTCCTGAGAACCTCTTGCTTTCTTGTTTTCAATAGGTACATTTAGTTGTGGCTGTCTTCTGCTCAGCCGGACCGAAGCGTCCTCATTCAAGTGTCTCGTAAGGTCTGAATATCCAAATAGCTGAACATAAAAGAGACGCAAAGTTGTGCCCCGGTATGAACTCTCATCTGGATTTGCCGTGGAAAGCGGATTTTCATCTTGTCCAACAGATTTATATCCCCACTCGTGTGGCCCTGACAAGCTCTGAATTCTGAACTCCTAAGAAATTAGTAATTATCGATGGATATCGTATGCACATTCCCTTCTACGCGCCACCGCCGTACAGTCACCAACAAGCCCCAAAAATGACGAGG